TAACACCGCGATGTTTGACTAATCCGTTGCCCCCCCCCCCCCCAGGGGCCTCGAGGACCCAGGCGTCCACTCCGCCCTCGGACTGCGCGCTGCCCTTTGCTGACTTAAAACATTCATCTCGCACCATTAGCCGCGCGGTCCAAGTTGCAGTGTGCCTAGATTTTCCTCCAAGGACAAAAATGTGAATAAAGCAACATTTTAGTCAAACATTTCGGTGTTAATGAAGAAGATGGCAATTCGTTCCGGACTATAAATTCTCTTTAGCACCTCTCCAAGGTATTCTTTAAAATTGTTTTTTCAACACTGCTGAATGTGCATCATGACGTGTGGGAGACTTGTGTAAAGCGAATCAATTTATAGTGGGCTGATCCCTCGATCCAGTGTTACACCTTCAAGGAGGCACCTTTCCATAGTTTTCTCGGTTTTTTCCCAACACGTGTTATCTGTTAGTGAGGAAGCTCCGTGCACACAGCACTGTATTCAGTCTGTTAGGCAGACGCGGCTCTCAAACTAGGAAAAGCCTAGCCCAGCTCTAAATTCAAAAATGGACATTAAGTTGTGGATTAAGATATACAGGTAGCTTTTATGATCTATAACTGAACATAATCTTAAGACAAATTTAATCACAGGAATTTTTTTTTTTTGAAGGCATCCAGCATCTCCAGTTAGCAGTACTGACTTTTTTTTTTCCCCCCCAACAAAGGCACACTACGTCAACACTCTTGGCCGGGATCTGGACGCAGAAGACTCCTGTTTCAAGAAAATACAATCGTCTCTCAAAGTCTGTAATTTATATGCATTTTTAACTCACTAGGTATTGAAAACCACCCAAGTGTCCCACAACATGGGGTAAAATATAATCACTGAGTGTAATATTATACATCCCTTAAAAATGTGATTGGAAAATGTTTTATGATCTGTAAGACAAAATACCCTCTCCCACCATTTCTTTCTCCCTGCTGCTCCCCCATACCCACGCATCTTTGTTCCAACTGGCATGTTCAACTTGGTTTTCCCGCCAAATGAGTCAGTTATGATGGGAACGGCAATTGATTTGAACAGATGTGTGTCAGGGTTACTTGGGAAACCAGATGCCAATAACCAGGGCCACACAAAAAGGCAGTGGTTGCAACTCCGTACAAATTTATGCGGGCACGCAGACAAGGACTAAAGTGGAACCCCAAACAGGAAAACAGTTGGATACGCTCCCGTGCTGAGAGATTGAATGATTGTATGCTGCTTTTGATTTCCTTTAATACAGGCAACTGTCCAATTAAAAAGACCTGAGAAGGACTCTGCAGTGCAAATTATTTTGCTGTTTTAAAACACTATACCTATGCAACCCTCGAGGCAGATGGGGCAACACTCGGAAAAAAGTGCTCCCACGCAGGTGGGAGTTCACTTCTACACAGCTTTGCCAAGAGACAGTGCAAGAGGAAAGTAAAAATAGGTTCAAAAAGCATTTTGGGGGCGGGGAGATCAATGAGTTTATCGACAGGCCTGAAAGACTTGAACCGAAGGCTATATCCAAGTTGGCATAAACTTTTAGAAATCTGTCTTCCCATTGGCCTGCAGCATAACTTAGCGTCATAACCCTAAGATTTTATATATGCATATGTATTTTGAATGATTACATTAATCTTAAAAAACTATATATGTATACAGATACATCTATATTCTGACACACACACCCCAATTCTAGCAAATGTGTATCTCCTAGCCCCCTCCACCCCACTCACCCTGCCCACCAGCTACTGCTCAGTAAATGAACAAAGATCTGTCCTCTAACACCCCATTTCACCTAGCCACCACCTTAGCCTCCCTCCCCTCCTCCACAATTGATCTCTTTGGCAAGTTCAAAAAGGCTTAACCACCCCCCCACCCCCACCCCCGCAGGATAGTAAACTGAGCCATTAGGGAGGAGCCCTGAAAAGATCTCCATTTCCTGTGGTGGCTCAGGCTTTGGAGCACTCCCCCTTACTAGCTCAACAATCTGAGCTGCTGGTGGGGGGGGGGGGGGAGGTGGCCGGGGCTTCACCGCCGCCACCGCTACCGCTGTTGGTCTGGGAGCTGAGAACAGAGCTGGGAGTCCTCACTGCTTTGAAGTGTGATTCTGCTGAGGCAGCTCCTTCACCTGTTGGCCTTCCCCCACCTCCACCCGCTCTCCAGACCAGACCGTTCTCCCAAGACCAGATCTTTTAAAGGTCTTGGTCACAAAAGCCGAAATAGTCAGAATCCCAGTAATCCCAGCACCTTGCGGCTGTAGCGTGCTTGTACGTGTTTTTGCAAATATTTTCGTATTTTCTACTTGTAACAAGAGAAAAACAGGATAAGGCAGTCAAAAGAACCAATTACAAAGAAGAAGACTGGGGCTTCTGGAGGTTAGGGATTTGGCTCAGGCTGGGCTCAAGCCTCTCCCTCCAGACCTCATGCGGTGGTGCTTCTTATATCATTACTGGTTAAGCAGAACCCTCTACACAGTAGTGACTAGAGTCGGAAATGAATTCGTTTGGTTAAAAAAATTCAAGGTGATATTGATCAGTTTTATAATGAGCTTTTGCCTACACCCTGAGCACTTCCTGGGGGAGGCCCAAGATTTGGCCCCAGGATGAGGAAATAGTGACTAAAGTGCCCAGCCGTGTACAAGTAGATACGTACAACCCACAAATGCTTTAAGTTCATTAGAATCTGTGGCCCATGTTGTTACTTTCTATAGATTCAACCAAATTAACCTTAAGGAAACAAGTGGAATGTTCAACCATAGGGGTTAACTTAATGTGGTCACTCACTCAGTGGAACCTTTTTCGGCTGTTACAAGTAATAATTATAAAGCCTATGTAGAAACCTGGAAAATGCTTAAGATAACCAAGTTTTACAAATCAGGACATAAAATCATGTGGACACCATGATGGAAATGTAGGTCTAAACAGGAGCAGAAACTGGAAAGACCATGCAAGACAAACATACCTGTTGCCTAAGGTGCTGGGATTTGAGCTGGAGTCTCTTCTTTCTCTCCTGTTCCCTGTGTGTTCATTATGCCGGGTTGTTTTGTTATGTTGTCAACCATAATTCTCTAAAAAGCCTTTAGGGGTCACGGGCAACCCAGAAAATTTGGGTCAAGGATGCACAGACCTCAGACATCTCGGGGATCATCATGTCACGAGAGACCACTGTGCACTTGTGACAGATTGATAACTGAAAGGTCTGGGAGCCACTCCTCTTCACAGCAATACGGCTGGTAAGTATTGCAAGACCAGCGGATGAAAAGATGGGGAAAAAGTGGGCCCTAAGCAAGGAAGAACGTGGCTGCCACGGCAGGAGAAGGGGCTGAGTTGTATTTTCGTAGTTTCATGGGAAGCGGGGGTCAGACTTTAAGTTTCTTTCTAATGAATGGAAACTTCTATATTCGTGCCAGAATGTTAAAACAAAGGATTTCTGCTCAAGCAAACAACTGGAAATACATTCGCTGTAAGCACTGAGACATAAGGAGGCTCATCGTTAATATGTTGACCCTCTAAAAATGGTCAAAAAACAACAAAAACTGCATGAACAAAAAGCCACAGAAAAAGAATCCATAAAAAAGCTCAGTTTAGGATTTGTAAGGATGGAAATTAGGAACATCCTGGTGATCAACAATGAAGGATGGGGTAAATAAAATATGGTGCATCTAGTAAATAACACGAGACTGTGCCCCTGACGAAATACGTGATGCTAACAGAAACATGCAAAGTGCTCGCAGTTTCCATCTATGCAGTCTAGGAGTATAGGGAGCATTCCGTGTGCAGTTTGGTTTCAATACGGAGATAAAAGGCTGGAAGGAAATAGATCACAGCCTTAATAGCGGTGATCTCGGGCGGCACACATGATCAGAGAAAGATGCTGAACTATTTTTGCGATGTGTTCCTAATATGTAATATAAATGTATTGGGAACATTTTGCATTCATAGTCTTGCATCAATAATATGGAAAGAAGGCTAGGAAAAAGTATACCAAGAGTCTGTCAAAGAAAGATGCTGAACTGTTTTTGCGATGTGTTCCTAATATGCGGTATAAATATATTGGGAGCATTTTGCATGCATGGTTTTGTATCAATATACAGATAAGAGGCTGGAGGGAGCACACCAAAAATCCTATAATGCTTCTCTGTGGGTTGCGATATGATAAAGTAATAAAAAGTAAGGTACAAAATTATTTTTGCAATATGTTCCTGAATATGTAATATGAGTGTATTGGGGACATTTTGCATCCATAGTTTTGTATCAATATTTAGAGAACAGGCTAGGAAGAAATATATTAAAATTTAATAGTGGTTATTTGTGGGTTCTAGTATTATAGATGATATCTGTTCTTCCCTTTATACTTTTATGTATTTTCCAAGTAATACTTGTACAAACAACAAAATTCATTACTTTTATAGCTATAATAAAATTTCCTTTTTTTTTTTATAAAGAGTTTGTATTTATTTTTAAAAAACAGCATAGCCCCCTGACCTGGGGATAGGGACAGACTTCCTATTTGGATAGCAATGGGCCTAGCAGACGTTTGCAAACCTGTCTGGGCCAACCCTACACAGCTTTGGTTGGTTTTGCAGTGCAAATGTGTGTTCTCCTTTGCTCTTGGCAAAGGGTAGAGAAAGCATAATTTAAAAATATAACCATGACAGAGTAATAATAGTAATATCGTTAAACACACTGCTATCTCCTGTCTAATCAAAGTAACACTTTAAGAAGTATAGAAAGTTGAAACAGGCTCCTTTTCCTGTAAGAGCAATTCACGATGGCGCGACTTGGATGCTTGCCTGGGGCCTCAAGACACATGGGCCCATCTGGGACATGCCTGAGTCAGGAAAACACCTTACGGGAAACCTAATTCCACCCAGCCGATCTTTTGCAGAGGCAGCTAAAGCCCCCTGCATCTTGCCACCAGTTCTGCTGAGCTCCAGAGCTGCCCTGGTGTTGGGGAGCCCACGTGACACCCGAATTTGGGCTTTCCCTGTTTTGTTAAGAGAGACATAACCATTTGGAAACATACCAGGCCCCTGGCCTGGGAAGACACCGGCCAAGGGCTCGAGCATTCCTCAGTTGCACTTCTTTGAATGGAGATACCGCATGAGAAGAGGATGTACGGCCTCTCCACCCTCTTCGAGGCTCTCTTGGGGAAACAGTTTCCCCCAAAGAATTCGTCACACTCTGGAGCAAGACCCTATCACTGGGCATTACTCTCAAAACATGTATCTTAGTCCTTAAAGCAGAAGCTGCAGTCACGAGGCAAAAATATACTTGAAAGAACATTCTTCCCATTTCCTGGTGTCCTGCCTTTGTTCTGCTTAAGAACAGTCATACAGCCAAAGTCATCCTCGGTGACATGTGTACTCCTCTGTATGTCTTTTTTTTTTTTTTTTTAAGTTCATTTAGAGAGAGAAAGCATGAGCGGGAGAAGGGCAGAGAGATAGTGTGTGTGTGTGTGTGTGTGTGGGTGGGAGAGGGGGCAGAGAGACGAGAGAAAATCTCAAGCAGGCTTCATGATCAGTGCGGAGCCCTACGTGGGACTCAATCCCAGGATCTGTGAGATCATGACCCGAGCCGAAACCAAGAGTTGGAGCCTTAACCGACTGAGCCACCCGGGCACCCCCCTCTGTATGTCTTTCATAAACATTTTTCCCCGCCTCATTCCATCAATCTGAGCACATTTTCTGGAGGCCTGGCTCTGTGCTGCTGACTTGTGGGGAGAGGAGAGGACAGAAGCGAGGGGGGTAAGGGGATTCTGAGCCAGAGAGGCCTCGAACACATGAATCCTTTCCTGCATCTGCCATTGGGTATAAAACTGGGATCAGCTGGTGCTTTGACCTTCTTCTGAGCCAGGTCGGACCACACAGAGAATCTGCTTTGCTCAGCCAAATTATCCAGTGTCCTCCTTTCCCTAGGCTTCACTCTAGTCCCTGCTAGACAGAGTGTAAAATAGGGAAGAGTGTGGGAGGGTCCCCTTACTACATGGAAGGCCTCATGCCCAGCTGAGAGAGAGAGATCTTTAATGTAAGCCCTGACCTTAACTCTCTTCATTTACCAGTGAAAAAAAGCTCCAGGCCCTGAATTTCTGGACCAATACGATGTCCTAGAATTTGGCCAGTGGAGAGACCACTCCCAATTGGGGCTATGCCAAGAAGGGCTGGGTGGGGGGCAGGAGCAGGCGCCAAACGAGCTGGGAGCTGCCCTTCGCTAACGGGGTCAGTGCAATCCCTCATTTTACAGAAGAGGAAACTGAGTTGCCGAGAGAGAGGAAATACCTCGTAGAGA